GTACAGTTATGCAGATAAAGTCCTAGTAAACATAAAATAAACCTTAAAAAGTTATTTTTTCATTCAGATAGTGTTTTTTTCCATAAAGGTGAACATAACTCTTTGAATCCTTTCAATGTAGAAGTAACTATTGCATACACTGGATTATTTTTCCTTCCTTTATTTTTAAGCAGTATTGAAGATTGATGTCAGGGCTTTGTGCATGGTAGGCAAGCACTTTACTGTGCTCTAGCCCTTAGAGATGAGCTTTCTGATATGAAGTAAAATATATACTAATTTAGGCAATGTCAAAAATAATAGCAATGTCTAGGCTTCTTTGTTAAATTCTCATTGAATGTGATTGGTATATATGGGTGATCTGTGATACTTGGCAACCATGACCCTGAGACCCTACCAGAATTTTTATCCAGATTAATATGTTATGATGTTTTACTTGGTAGTGTGGTGGTAGCCTTCTTCTGCAGTGATTATACAAACACAATGCTGTTTGAGGTTACTTTTGTTCCTAGTATTTTATTTTTATATACATACCTTGCATTACTTGAAAACTTCTGAGCTAATTAACTTTTAAAAAGGATACAGCATGGTGGTGCATGCCTTTGATCCTGGTACTCCGGAGGCAGAGGCAGGTGGGTTTCTGAGTTAAATGTCATTTTGGTCTACAGCGTGAATTTCTAGACAGCCACAGAGTGACACAGAGAAACCCTGTCTCCAAAAACCAAAACCAAAACAAAACAAAAATTCAGATAAGACAAAATTGATGGGTTATATTATTAAGTAGCATAGGTTGGTCTTGAACCTTCTGTAACCAGACTGAACTCAAACTCAATCTTCTAGTCTCAGCCTTTTTAACTCTAGAATTATAAGTTGCTTGCTTACTTTGATCTTTAATATGCAAATTAAAATAATTCTGATAAGTATTACATTGTCTAGTATATTCCCCCATATACAAAAGCTGGCCCTCTTTTATCCTATGTTTCTCAAACAAAATTTCATATTAAAAATATTTTTAGCCAGTCATGGTGGTGCATACATTTAATTCCAGCACGTAGGAGGCAGAGGCAGGAGGATCTCTGTGAGTTTGAGACCTGCTTGGTGTACATAGCAAGGTTGAGGATAGCTGGGGCTTCATAGAGACCCTGTCTCAAAAAAAAAAAGATTTAAAAATATTTTTAAAGATTATTTTTGCCTTTTAATTTTTAATATTTGAACAAGGTCTTAACTGCATAACCATGTTTGGACAGGAGGCAGAGACAGCCTGGTTTGCATAATGAGTTTGTAGTCAAGGATGACGTTGAACTCCTGATCCTCCTCTTTCCACTTCAGTGAGATTACAGGTATATGTCATCACACCTAGCTTCATTTGTTCATGGATTTAGGCTGGGTTCAGTACTGATTAACAGGTTAAAAAGTCAAGAAGCTAAAAAGCATAGTATCAAAGACAACATATTGAAGCAGTAGGAAATCGTGAACACCTCATGAGAGTGGAGGAGTGGTGCTTTAGTGTGCTTGAGCACTGCCCTTTTCTCCTTGATTGCATCCATTGTACATGGAGGTTTCCTGATTGGCACATATATCCATATGTAATGTAGTACTCGGCACACAGGTATTTTTCCTTTCAGTAGATAAAAGGAAAACTATGCTAATAGAACAGTGAGATTGGCAAGTGTTATGTCCTGAAGGAGGAGATAGAGCAGGTGACAGGAATCAGATATGTTGCCAGTTGCTTTGTTGGAAGGGCTCTTGTTCAAAACATCCAACCAGAGGAAAAAAGGATTGAGATTAGGTCCCAGCATTGTCACTTGACAGGGTTTCAGAGCCACTGATGTTGGCAGCTACACCTTTTGATTATGTTCTTCAAGTCTGATGTGTAGGTAATGTTTCAGTAGATAACTGAAACATATAATTCAATGAGTTCTAGACTGTTTTCAAAGTGAGGTTTATGGTGTACATACAGGGTTTCTCTGTGTAACAGCCCTGACTGTCCTGGAACTTGCTTTGTAGACCAGACTTGCCTTGAACTCACTGAAATCCACCTGTCTCTGCCTTCCAAGTGCTGGGATTAAAGGCGTGCGCCACCATGCCTGGCTTCATTTCTTAATTATGTGGGAAGGATTTGTTAGTCTGAGACAGGAAGATGATGTGAGTTCAAGACTAGCCTGGACTGCAAAGTGAGTCTCTGAATTCCTGTCTCAAAACCATCTCTCCTCCAATGGATATAATATTTCAGAGATTTGTTCATATAAGTTATGATTAGTTTGGTAACATCTTTTGATTGTGTATCAGTACTCACCAGTAGGGAATGGCTTACAGTTATTTAAAGAAATAACTGTCTAGAGTTATGATTTTTGTTTATCAGGAGAGTATGTAAGACAAAGAGGCAAGAAAAATGGAAGCTCTGGCAGGGGTTGTTGATTTGGTATGAGAAAGTATAAGATATGAAAAGAGTGATAAAGTTAAGATATGATGTAACAAGTGAAGAGGAAGAATGTTAGTAGCTGTGGTGGTAGAGGCTTATGATCATATACTTAGGAGGCAAGAGGCCTGAGTCTTTGACTGGCTTGGGGTATATGGTTTCTTTCTTTGGAAGGAGCAATGTTCCAGGCCTCAGAAACCCACAGAGACAGCTGACCTGAACAATGGGGGAGTTCTTGGACCCCCAGACTGAAAGCTGAGAAACCAGCATTGGACCGACTCAGACTCCCTGAATGTGGGTCTCAGTTAGAAGGCCTGGGCAGTCTAAGGGACCTCTTGACAGTGGAACCAGGATGTATCCCTGGTGCACAAAAGGACTTTGGGAGCACATTCCCCATGGAGGGATACTCCCTTAACCTAGAGGCAGGAGGGAGGGCCTAGACCCTACTCCAAATGACTTGACAGATTTTGTTGATCCCTCCTGGAAGGCATCACCTTCCCTGTGGAGGGGGGTGTTGGGGGTATGGGAGAGAGAGGGAACTGGGATCGATATGTAAAATAAGAAGTTATACACACATATAGAACAGAGAACAATGATTTAAACCACACAAAAAGAAATAAGTAATGTTAATTAGGAAATTGATAGTTTGGATTTCAGATGTGTACTAGTTCTGGATGAGGGCACACCTTAGGGTTTGCAGTGGAGTAATAGCAGTTGAGGGATACTGGGAGCTATGACTTAGTTTTTTGTGGGGGCTATTTTGTGAATGCTGAAGGGGTGCATGTAACTCAGCTAGATGACAGGTGGGAGAGTGAGTGATTCATCAAGAGGAATGTAACAAGAGACAACAGAGGATGGATTTTTATCTTATCAAAAGTCTCAAGTTTTATTTAGGGAAAGGATGGTAGAAAGTTAAGGAAAGGATTAGAAATATCTGTATGCCTTGGAAGAATATTTTTTATAAGATGGGTGAAGGTGAGACTAGAAGCAGAATGTCTGGAAGGTGGGAATTTGAGGAGAAAATATTTAAATGAGGATGGAGAAGGAACTTTGCAACCATCATGTACACGTAAGGATATTTGTGTCTAACGAAGCAAGGTTCTATAGGGCATAATGGAAGGAGTTGTGAGGGCATTCAGGGATGGAGAAATCGTTAGAGCAAGCTCCCTTCCTCCCTTCTTCCCTCTCTTTCCTTCCTTCCCTCCCTGTTTTGGTTTTTCGAGACAGGGTTTCTCCATTTGGAGGCTGTCCTGGAACTCACTCTGTAGACCTCGAATTCACAAAGCTCTACCTGCCTCTGCCTCCCAAGTGCTGGGATTAAAGATATGCATTACCATACCTATTTTCATTTCTTAACTATGTGAAAATTTGTTTACTTTCCTTTAAAGGTTATATATTTTAAATATAGAAGCATTCATTGTTTTAAAAAATGAGGTTAATAATGTAAGTATAAAGGAAATACCTCTTAAAATTTAAAACCCAGGCTTATCATTTTACTATTCTAGACTTTTTCTCATCTGAACAAATACATATGTAGTTTAATTTTGAAGCTATACTCAATATATCATGGTAACATCTAATAAACATCCTTTGTTAGAATAGACATATTGTTACCACCACTCTTACCTTTTATAGTAATCTACTATTAGACTGTACCATATTTATTTTTTAATCTGTTCTCAGACTTGTTTTTTGGTTTAAAGAGTGTCTTGTTATATAGCTCTGACTGGTTAGAACTTGATGCAATTCTCCTGCATCTACTTCCCAAGTGCTGCTTAGATTGTAGATATGTGCCATATGCCTCATAAGTATTAAGTTTTTGAGTTTTTTTTGTGGACAAGGAAGGTCGTTCTTTGTAGCCCAAGGCAGGAGCTGGTCTGGAACTTGCTGTGTAAATCAGGCTGACTTTGAATTCTCAGCACGCTTTGTTTATCACCTTCCTTTCCATCCCTTTCCCCCTTCCTACTTTTCTCACTCCATCATGTGCATACTGGCCTGGAACTCTGGATTAGAGTGATGTTTTTCTCTCAGCCTCTTGAGGAGCTGGAACTGTAGATGCATGCTACTGTGCCAGATACTTTATAGTAGTAGTTCAAGTAGTTCTAAGAATTTTATTTGCACAATTTGGCATATTTATCCAATTTCTTTCTTTGGGTGAATTTCTAGGAATTTTCAAATTTGGCTCTTTTTTGGTATAATTTTTTTTCCTTCCTTCCTTCTTTCCTTCCTTTCTTTGCTTTTCCTTAACTAGGTATTTGCTTATGCAATCTTTTGTACTCCTAATTTTGGAGCATGTATATATTTGATGGACTGCATAAAGTAAGTCAGATGGGTGTGTATTGTAAGTTGACAGGTTACCATTGTTTGATAGATATATTTTTTATTAGTGTCTTTTTACCAGGTAGGAAGCCAAAATCATTAGCTTGGAAACTTTCATGGAAGGTTTCCTTCTTTCTGATGGTTTGTATACTTTAAGATATTGCCAGTAGACCTAAGATATTATAAAAATTCTTACAGCTTTTAATAATACTTTCTGAATGCATGGTCATGATTAATACCATTTTCTGTAATTACTTTTTTTCAGGTGATTCATGGCAGGGGACGTGGAAGGTTTCTGTTCTTCCATCCATGACACCAGTGTCTCTGCTGGGTTCAGAGCACTGTATGAGGAGGGATTGCTTCTCGATGTCACTCTGGTTATTGAAGACCATCAGTTCCAGGCCCATAAAGCGCTCTTGGCCACCCAGAGTGATTACTTCAGAATTATGTTCACAGCAGACATGAGAGAACGCGATCAGGACAAAATTCACTTGAAAGGTCTAACAGCTACTGGTTTCAGCCACGTTCTTCAGTTTATGTATTATGGAACTATAGAACTGAGTATGAATACTGTTCATGAAATCCTTCAGGCTGCAATGTATGTTCAGCTTATAGAAGTGGTGAAGTTCTGCTGTTCTTTTCTGTTAGCCAAAATCTGCTTAGAAAATTGTGCAGAAATTATGAGACTCTTAGATGATTTCGGTGTTAACATCGAGGGAGTCAGGGAGAAGCTGGACGCCTTTCTGCTAGACAACTTTGTGCCACTCATGTCCAGGCCTGACTTCCTATCCTATCTGAGCTTTGAGAAGCTCATGTCTTATCTGGATAATGATCATCTGAGCAGGTTTCCCGAAATAGAGCTGTACGAAGCTGTGCAGTCTTGGCTGCGACATGATAGACGACGATGGAGACATACAGATACCATCATTCAGAACATCAGGTTTTGTTTGATGACTCCATCCAGCGTTTTTGAGAAGGTTGGTGCATTTGAAAGCAGTAGACAGGACTCCTCATTTAGTTAAAGATGTTGTTATAGATAAGATTCCCAGAGTTGGTCAGGAGTCAAAAAAGGAGTAGTTTGTAAGACTATTTTCTATATAAGAAACTAATGTTGTTATATCTTATGCATTTAGGTGTTTTTAAAATACATTTTGTGGGTGAAGGGTAAACCAGGTAGGTAGTAGAATAGTTCCACCTTTAAAGTACTTTTAAGGTTGGATTATAATGTGATGCAAGTATTACAAGTTTGCTTCAGCTTTTCTTATTAACTGGGTTATTTTATTTTTAAAAGTTAATTTAAGTAATCTAGTGCTAGATTTGGCATTGACGATTTTTACATTTCTACATGGTACATATATTAAATGTATTTTCTTATTTAAAATACAGTAAGGGCACATACAATAGCTCTTGATGACCAGTAGGCCACTGAGTGATTGTCTTCCATACTCTTGCTTATTTCTGCTCCTCATTTCACTGTGAATACTAACTAAATTTATCCATGAAAACAAGATATATATAAATTTCAAACTAGTAGACCATAAATTCTCTATATACATTCATCAATCATCCCTGTGTACATTTTACCATGTAAATGGTTCTATTTTAAAATACTTTCTCTAAAACAGCCTCGACCTTTTTGCAAGCATCTTCATTTTTATATCAGAGTCTCACTTGTGATCCATTCTTGCCCAAAGGAGAGAGAGCAGCTTCAGTAATTGCTTAACTTAATTGGTTTCTAATCACATGGTTACCTCTGGGGCTCTGTTTACCTCTTGCATCTTTCCGTCTTTCTAGGAAGCACACAAAACTTGGTCAACAGACACCCTTCATATTAAAACACTCAGCTTTAACTAACACACTGTGTGAAAAATCATTTCTGAAAAGGAGGTTTGTTTATGCCATTTGATAAATAAACAAATTGCACCTTTGAATAACACTCAGCAGCCTGGCATGTTTTTCTTTTTCCCCCTTCTGAACTGCTATGAAATGTCATTATCTTTACTAGAGAATTTTATGGAATTTTATCTTTATTCTCAGAATGTATTAATATGACAGACATATTTGAAACTAAATGATATATTTGTTTTTGTTCAGTAAGAACCAGCCCCATATCAACTATGTAAATCATTTGCTGCTTATGTTGTTGATTTTTTTTCTACCTTTACTATTGTTTTTATTGCTCTCTTTCCCTGGGGATTCATGTTTTGTCTTTATACATTAAATGAGGATGCTTTCTCACTGCTAAAACAGAGGCTCCTGCCACCCAATTTCAATCTAGATTGAAATAGAAAGTATTTGTGAAATAGAAAATAAAATTTCATCTCTTGTGAGACAATATAATGGTTAACCAATAGCAGTTAATGATTTGTAAATGCTGAGCTGCTAGACTAGCCTATATTTCAATTATTTTTCAAGGTAGGCAATTATTACAGTGGCTAAAAGGGTAGTTGTTTAACAGTTGATTTGCTGATTTCCTTTTATACCTATGGCATAATAGTGGTTATTCCCTTTGGCTAAGAGTGTGGCTTTATCAGGGTAAAAATTGTATTAAAACCTCTTTCTGGAATTACTTTCTTAGGAAAACTTAAGACTCAGTTGAGAAATTTTTCATTTTTTTTGTAATATAAAATCTTTCACTTTTAATTGACTAATACTAGCTTATCTTGATAGTATGTGAGATTTAAGTTTATCAAAGCAATCTGTGGCTTTTTAAATGTTGAGATGCACTTCCATTATGCAGATTAGAGGCCCTCTCTCTAGAACTATAACTTTACAAACCAAACCAATATGGAGAATTTGTTTGGCAACTATATATTTAGATAGGGTTTGTCATGGTGGTTTGATCTCAGCACTTAGGCAGAGACCAGATGTAGAGAGACCCTGTCTCAAAACAAAGAGTTTAGTTATTGTACATTTTATATTTATAATTCCTTGAAAATAATATTCATATATTTTTCTTGTATTCAGAATATTACAAGTCCCATACAAGGGCATTTTTACTATATATATATATGCCTGGCCCCAGAGTGGGCATAAAAGTGCTGCTCCTCTTTAGTAAGAGAGATTCCATGTGCAAGAAGTATAACTATTTTTGATTTGTGGTTTTTATCCCATTTGCTGAAATTTATAAAATTAGATTTTTTTTTCTTCAAATAAGGCTTTTACTGTATCCCAGGCTGGGCTTTAACATTTTATAGAGCCCAGGCTGGCCTCACACTCAGGATAATCTTCCTGCCTCAGCCTTAAAGTGCAGGGATTATATGCACTTCCCACATCTGGCAGGGAGTGTTGATATGGCCTTGTTTTGGCTTTTATGTATTTTAAATTTTCTGTTGTAAATTTACTTAAACATGCAAATATAAGGATCACTTGAAAACAAACATACCATGTAAGTTAATAGTTGTTAACATATTTGCTGGATAGATAGAGATTGTATAGTTTTTTTTGTCTGTGTTTTTTTTTCTCCTGCCTGAGCTGGCTCAAAGAATGTTGTAGAGCCAGGCAGTGGTGGTACATGCCTTTAATCCCAGCATTTGGGAGGCAGAGGCAGGCAGATCTGAGTATGAGTCTAGCCTACACAGAGAAACCCTGTTTCAAAAAAAAATAATAAACAAAAGAATGTTGTAGACATTGTGACCATTCATCCCTAACTGCTTCAGCTATCATTTCCCAAGATTAAGGATATCATCCTGCATATACCAAAATACTATTGTCATACTCAAGAGAATTAACAATATTTCTTTAGTGTCATGTAACATTCAGGTCATTTTCTGTTAGTTCAAAGGTGTCTTTTTTGGTTGCTTTTCACGAACTAAATTTTAATCAAGGTTTGCACAGTACATTTGGTTGTCTTTGTTTTAATTTTGAATTATCTCCCCCTTTCCTCATTTGTTATAAGGATATTCAAACATGTGAGAAGTTGAATGAATAGCATAATGAACACTTGTACAGTGTATAGCCATTGCCTAGATTCAAGAACTGCTAACATTTGACATTTGTTTCCTAGCTTTTGAAAATCAGTTGTAAATATCAAGATACCTCACTCTAATACTTAACTGTCTTTCTTCTATGAGTAAGGGTTTTTATTACTTAAATACAATATTATTTTTACCTTAGCACTAATAGTAAGACCCATCAAATTGCTAATGGATAGTCTAGTTTTTGCAGTTGCTTCCAAGATCCACTAGAATCCAGTGTTTATACATTGCTTTTTGGCCATTATGTATATCTAAGTTTTCTTAATACACAGCAGCCTCCACCTTTCTTTTCCTTCCTTCCTTCCTTCCTTCCTCCCTCTCTTCCTTTCTCCCCCTCCCTCCTTCTATCCCTCCCTCCCTTCCTTCCTTCAAGACTTGACTGTTCATTGATAGTCTCAGTACATTTTATATTCTGGATGTATTCTAGATGTTGTGTTGTTAACTTAGTTTCTTTATACCCTTTGTTTCCTAGTAACACATCTACATTTTAGCATCTTGTTTTTTCATGAACAGTTTACAGGAAAATACTGTAATGTCACAGGAAAAACTTGGGAAACCATTTGGCTGCTCTGATTAGGCTTAGAAATCACCTATTTTTGTATTATGACTCCAAGCAGCTAATTTCTGTGATGAAAACAAAAAAAAATTTCACTCTGTTCTGGGTTTTTTTAGTTTTTTTTTTTTTAGAGTAATAAAATTTCCCCTCACTTAAAGAAAAAGTAGAATATTTCAGTTTATTGGAGTTAAATTATGTGAAGGGCTAAAATCCTTCTTAATAAAAAAAAAAATCAGCTTGAGACTTCAGTCTATAGTATAAGCTTAGCATGCACTGTAACTAGTTTCTAGCACTACCCAAATCAGGTATAACTGATTTACCTGTAAAATGAGGATAACATTGAGCTTTACTGTTCAAAGATTAAGACAATAAAAAAGCAGAGCTGGAGAAATGGGTCAGCAGTTAGGAGCACTGGCTGCGCTTCCAGAGGACCTGAGTTCGATTCCTAGCACTCACGTGGCAGCTCATAACTGTCCATAACTCCATTTCCAGGGGAATCAATGGCACCAGACATGTACATTCAGGCAAAATACCAATACACATAAATAAATACATCTTTTTTTTTGTTTTTTTTTTGTTTGTTTGTTTTTTTGTTTTTTCAAGACAGTTTCTCTGTGGCTTTGGAGCTCTTGTAGATCAGGCTGGTCTCAAACTCAAAGAGATCTGCCTGCCTTTGCATCCCGAATGCTGGGATTCAAGGCATGTGCCACCAGTGCCCAGCTTATTTTTATTATTATTATTATTATTATTATGTCTTTTTAAAAGGCAACAAAAAGGATGTTTATTATCTCAAATTTACTTTGGAACTAAGAATTAAACCTAGGACCTTAGTGAATACTAGCTAGGTTCTCTACTATTGAACTAACTATATCCCTAGACTTAAATAATTTTGAGATTGATTACATGTTGAAATTGTACTTTGAATATATTGAGTTAAATATGTTAAAAGAAAATTTTACCTTTTGTGCTTTTTAAAATGTAGCACATGTAAAATTGCATCTTTTGGCTTACATTTGTCATTTGGATTATATTTTTATAGCAGAATACTGCTCTAAAGTTAAGGAACTGAGTTCTCATTAGCAACTTTGACTATACATATAGTAAGCTGATTTTTCTCACATTTAACTCCCTCTCCCTAATTCTCACCCTTTGGTTATGGTTATATACAGTTAGTGTTAAAGAACTCCCAGACCTAAAGATTCATTGTGTGGTTGATAAAGATTAGCTTTGTCATGATCCTTTTTCTGTCTTCAGGAAAATAAGCACCTATACAAAGTTTTGGGAAGAAACTTCTTCTTGAAGCAGTAGCTATCAGATCTGAGCAATGGCATCTTAAAAGGAAAAGACGTATTCTTTTTCTCCGTGAAGATAAGCTCCACCCAATCCGATCTCAGGAATCTGAATAAGGCCCTCTAGCTGTGTTGAAATCACTAGGACCACTAGG